GCACGAAGAGCATCCCTGCCCTTAAAAAAAAGAAAACTTTTCGGTGAGTAGTTTTTCCGTCATTCGTTATCAGCACTCGCTGATGCATGCATTAGTGTGATCATTAATATTTCTTTTTTTACGCAGATGTACCTAAGGCCCCACAACACGTGATGTCACCAATCTCAGGTACTGCTATTTCCTTCGCGGTGTATATCTTGCATGCAAAACATTTAAACCTTATTAATTTTACAATTTCCCACTCTTTCGCAGGAGCCTCTCCAGAACCGCTAGAAAAGAAGGCGAAAGATTTGAAAAAATTACCATACCCAACTGTAAGGTCACGGCACGGAGCGAAGAGAAATAGTGGGAAGGAAAGCACCGATTCCCAGAAGGCTGACCGCGGTACTGCTATTTCCTTCGTAGTGTATATCTTGCATGCAAAACATTTAAACCGTATTGAATTTACAATTTCCCACTCTTTTCGCAGAAGACTCTCCAGATCCGCTAAAAAAGAAGGCGAAAGAAGTGAAAAAAGCATCATGCTCATCTGTAAGGCCACGGCGGAAAGCAAGAAAAAATAGTGAAAAGGAAAACACTGATTCCTAGGAGGCTGACCGCGGTACTGCTATTTCCTTCGTGGTGTATATCTTGCATGCAAAACATTTAAACCGTATTGAATTTACAATTTCCCACTCTTTTCGCAGAAGACTCTTCAGGTACGCTAAAGAGGAAAGCGAATCAGCGTTGCTCAACTCAAAGCTCACAAAGAAAAAAGAACAAAATTAATGAAGAGGAAACTGAAAAGCCTCAAAACGGCCTAGCAGCACCCAAGGAGTTGAAAAGGCAACTGGAAAAGATTGCAGCGGCCGAGAGTTACGACGGTATGTCCCTGAAAGAGGTGTTTATTCTAAAGCTGACAAATTACGGCACAATTAGTTTTAATTAATGGCTGTTCTTTATCGTTACAGATCTCCTTAATTTATGTCAGATGGCGCTGAAGATAACCCCTGACCATTGTAGCAGTAGCTCTTATTCAGAGTCGGACTTCTTCACCAATTGTCCCCGTTGTTTTGTGCCCATTATACTGAAAAGGCCGAAGGGAATGGGGAAACCTCGCTTTCCGACATGTCCGTGCTTCAACGAGGTGACCAAGACGGAGAGGCGGAGTTGCCCCGTTGTCCACCACCTGCTGAATGGTTTTACACCCATTCATTTCGAAAGCCTTCGGACAATACTACGACTGTCGCCAGAAGCTGAGAGAAAGGACATAATGGACCTACTCTCAAAAAGGGACGTGATGATTATGAAGAGTGGTGTCTATGATGGGAGAACCGTGTCATTTAATGAAGAAAACCTCATGGTAAGTTCTCTGCC